GAATTTCGCTGCATGAGAAATTGTGCACAACTATGAATTCATGGAGAGTTAGATCCTAGCTCAGGAATCAGGATGAACATTACCAATGAGACCCTATCGATCACGACTACACGGAAGAAATCAATTGTAGACACTAATAATGGATCTTCTCGTTTTAGGCAAATTTGTGTTTGATTAAAAATCATTAGCTCTTCCAATATTAATTTTACTAAAGTTTTGTGTTATGCAAAATGCAAAAGGTTATTTTTTGTTGTTGTGCAGCTGAGAGTGTCATCAGAAATAAGCAAGGCACCCTTCATCCTCCTCCTGGATTGTGACATGTACGCAAACAACGCAGACTCAATACGAGAGGCATTATGCTTTTTCTTGGACGGCAAGTATGGCCACGAGATTGCTTTCGTGCAACATCCCCAAAACTACAACAATCTCACCAAGGACGATATCTATGGAAGTGGATGTTTTGTAATTAATGCGGTGAGAGACACAGATTGTGGTTGTAGCTTTGCACTTTTAAATTATTAGTAAAGAAAGTTACACGGTTTTTACTGGACTAACATGTTCTGGTTTGGGTTGTCATGCATAAAGGTTGAGCTTGCTGGGTTGGGTGGATACGGCGCGGCCTTGTTTTGTGGCACCGGATGTTTCCATCGAAGAGAATGTCTTTTCGGAAAGAAATATACCAAGGATTATAGGGGACAACGGAATACAGAGAGCCAAAATACTATTGACAGAAGTATCCAAGAGTTGGAGGAATCTGCAAAAGCTCTTATCACTTGTAGCTATGAAAAGGGTACTAAATGGGGCAAAGAGGTCTCTGTCTCTCTCTCTCCCTCTTTCTCTTCGTACTCATTCCCTATTTCCAAATACCAGACCCAAATATCACGATGAAATATATGTTGTTTTTAATGCAGATGGGACTGATATATGGATGCCCGGTTGAAGATATAGTTTCTGGCTTGGCGATCCAATGTAGGGGGTGGAAGTCAATCTATTACAATCCAGAGAGAAAAGGGTTTCTAGGTATTTCTCCAAATACTTTGGATTTAGCACTTATTCAGCAAAAAAGGTGGTGTGAGGGCTTGTTTCAGATATTTTTCTCCAGGTATTGCCCTTTCATATATGGGCATGGAAAGATAATGTTGGGTGCCCAAATGGGATATTGTCTCTACCTTTTGTGGGCACCACTTTCCTTCCCAACTATGTGTTATGTGGCTGTTCCTCCACTTTGCTTGCTCCATGGCATTCCCTTGTTCCCAAAGGTACCTCAATCTCACTCTTCTTGATATTAGAGGGATGGATTTCCTTTATGAGCTAGTTATTTATACAGAAAAATGATTTCCGCACAACTCTTTCCTCCTGTACAGCATTGATTTTTGTCCCTGGCTTCTGCTTTAATTTATTCAATCGAAAGACCATAAATGAATAGAAATTGCATGGGAGAAGAGGAGTGAGCAGAATACCACTTCCCCTTGTATGTTTTCTTTTATCAACAATTTTGTTGAGTATAAGATTTGAACTCAGTACCTCCTCCTACAAAGTGGAGACTGAGTGCTAGAAGACCAAATGGTCATTGGCATGCTGCTCATATGAAGGTCATTTAAATTAACTGATTGCTTCTAATTGATGTTTTCAGATGTCAAGTCCATGGTTCCTAGCATTTGCTTATGTTTTTGTGGCCAAGAATGTTTACAGCATTATTGAGGCCCTCCAATGTGGTAGTTCACTCAAAGCATGGTGGAACTTACAAAGAATGTGGCTGATCCGAAGAATTACTTCCTACTTTTTTGCCTTCTTCGATACCATAAAGAGGCAATTGGGGCTATCCGAAACAGATTTTGCCCTCACTGATAAGGTGATGACAGAGGATGTGACAAAGAGGTATGAGCAGGAGGTAATGGAATTTGGAAGTCCAAGCATTATGTATACCGTCTTGGCAACATCAGCGTTGCTAAACTTATTAAGCTTAGTATGGGGAACAAAGAGGGTTGCCATGGATATAGATTCCGAAGCTTCAGAGCAGTTGATCAGTCAAGTTTTTCTTTGTGGCATATTGGTCATGATCAACTTACCGGTGTACCAGGCGCTCTTCTTCCGCAGCGATAAGGGTCATATACCATCATCTGTCATCTTCAAGTCTGTTTTGTTGCTTACACTGGCATGCCTGATGCCTATTTACTAGGAAAGCTAGCTAGCTGAAAGATTAATGAACAGTCAGTGTTTATGAACTAGTATTCTTCCTGAAACACCACATATTATAATTAGAAAGTCTACCACCAGGAGGCAGTACTGCGACTGATGAGGTCGCGTCGTACATGGTGTACTAGATATCCAGTAGAAAATAAGAATGCGGAATTAGACAAGCGTCCAATGTAGAAACATGCACATTAACATTTTGAGTGCAAAGATACATATCATGATGTGAATAAAATTTCCGCAATAAAAGAAAAATCGCAAGGCGATTAGCTACCCCGTTACAATAAGAAAAGAGTTTAGAGTCCAATTGGTAACAGGTGATATGAAATGGAGAAAGCTAGGGCCAAAGTTGCTGTTCAAACGACGTCTAAATTAGTTAGTTTAGGTCATATTGTTACTCAAGTCCAATGAGTGGTCATCTTTACAACACACAATTCTATCCCTTCTTCCTGGCTGTTATCATTTTCTCCCATCTCTAGGCCTTCAAACTCCAGCTGATGTATTAGTGTTTTGCTTTATAAAAACGGGGCACTTTAGATGAATGCTTCACTTGCTGTTCTTCTGCTAACAGCTTCTCATACTTAGTGGCCTCAGTCACCAGCTCTTGAAGCTCGTTAAACTATACATCATAGAACTTCTTCCTTAGGAGTAGTCTCAAAGCCTTCTAGGCAATAGCTATGAGTTGAGCATGGTTGATTGGGAACTAGCATCTCATCCTGGTCTTCCTGAATCTCATCATAAAATCCTTCGTAGGCTCATGTTCATATTGCATTACTTCCACCAGATCATTAATGATCATTCCAGGTTCCACCCTATAGAACTGCTCATGAAATGCCATCTTCATTTGCCCCCAGTTGGCAATGGAATTAAGGGGTAATATAGAGTACCATTGGGAAGCCAAGCCTACCAGTGAGTTTCCAAATAGTTTGTAGTCGGGGTTGTCCTTAAATGCCACACAACGATTTGAAAACTTGAAAATGTGATATCTGGAAGACACAGTACAGTGTTCCTCACTAAAAGTTGGGAACATGGGCATCTTGAAATTGAGAGGGAAAATATTATGCTCATCAATGTACTCGCTTATGATATGTTATCCTAACTATCAGGCGAGTTTGTAGTTAAGCATTTTGTACTACCATCCTCCTTAATTCTGTCAGTTTATTCCTGAGTTGTTGTGATTAGTCATATTATTATGTGGGGGATAGGAAGTCCCCCACTTTGGGCTATGATTGATGCCCGAAAAAGCTTCTCTCTATAGGTCTGGCTGTCTCTATCTAGCTTTCCCTATTGTAACCATCTTTCGGTGTGGAGTACTCTAACTTGAACTTTCTTTGTAGCGTTCCTGTTAAGGAACACAACCTGTTAACTTTTCCTGTGGTCTCCAGAGAGATCTTCTCCATACTCTTCAATACTTGCACCATGGTGGCTTGTAGATCTTCATTAGTAACCTTTCCACCCAACTTCTCAGAAAAAGGTCGGGCTCTCTAACATTCTGGGGCCGTGCAGTGAAGGAAAGTCTTCTGAGTGATCTATCATGCCTACTTCTGTTGGAAAGAGGTTGCCCAAATTCGACTTTCCACCTGAAAGTTCGATCCTTCCTTCGTCTTGGCATACAATATCACAAAATAAGTTCCATTGGGCATGCCAAAACTATGTTCGGGCTAGATTTGTCCCTCGCACAACTCCCTAAGGTCTTGCTTGTCGGGCAAGGTTTGTTGCTTGGTGTGCTGCAATATGAGTTTGCTATTAGTTTGAAAGGTGCCTTTGTGGGGCCTTTGTTAGGCCTTAAGGCTCACAATCAAAACTAACATGGATCTGAGCCTGCCACTGTTATCTTTGTATAACAAATTGTTATTTTTTGTTTATTAACTGGGTTGATTACTTGCGCACAAGTTACTTATACTTCTTGAGCTTACTGGATTTTTACAGATGAGTTAAGTTTGTATAAAGTTCTTTTTCTTGCCTTGTAAACAAGGACTTTTACTCATAATATTGTAAGTCCAGATAAAGGGGTTCAACGCCTTCCAACTATTTCTTTGATGACAGTTAACACTAAAGAAGCAAGGTTAATTAGTTTAACCAAATTAATCATAGATGAACATTGAATGAAAATCAGTTGAAAATGATTTAAAACACAAAGGAAGATGCATTTAAATAGTAGATCCACTTTATGTAAGTACAAACAAAAAATAGTTGGGCAAGATTATAACCTTGTCAGGCAAGGTTCATCTTCTTGCGACCATTTCTCTTTTTGTTTTACATGGGTTGTAATCTTTGGAGAATGAAAGGTAAAACGGGTTTACTAAAGGGATTCGATACTACAACGCTGGGGAAAAGTGGTAGTGCTTCTAAAACTTGATAAAAGATAGCTTTCTATGGTGAATCTATGACTAAAAGAACAGAGAATGGACAAACTAAAACTTTCTAGTTTCTTGCTTTTTTGAGAGCAAAGTTGAAGGTCTTTTGATTGATTGGTTGAGTGTCATTGTCTATGATGTCCCTTGCCGCTTTTATAGATTTTTTAGCTCGATTGTCCAAGCCTTGCGTTTTGGTGATGGCCTCTGGAACATGGTGAGTCACCACTTATTTACCTATCCATGCCTTTGAAAGGTACTTTTGCTAGGGGTGAGCTGCCCTTCTGAGTGTCATTTCAGTGCACTGACTACAATAACATTAAAAATTGAATATTCCAATAAGTGCTTTTTTGTCATTGGTGGAAGTCACATCATATGGATTAAATTGTCAAGAATGTTAGGCTGTAGCTTACAAGTATATGTAACCACATATGCCTTTATCTATTATTTAGGATATTAACAAAAAAAAGCTATTATTTAGGATGGAAAGAGAGAGAGAGAGAGAGCGTTGAGTTGAGAGAGAGTCTGAACTAGATGGGAAATGAAGGGTACGTACCATTGTTCGAGACGAGGAGAGCAAAGGGAACAGTCCTGTATAGGGTTTTTGCAGCATCTATATTTGCAGGAATATGTTTGATTTGGGTTTATAGATTGAGTCACATACCAAAAGAAGGAGAAGATGGAAGGTTTGCTTGGATTGGACTTTTGGGTGCTGAGATATGGTTTGGTTTTTACTGGATCCTTACTCAAGCCACCCGATGGAACCGTGTGTATAGGCACACCTTCAAAGATAGGCTTTCTCAAAGGTATATCAATTACTTCATGTTAGTTTGTTATTTGTTATTTGACAACCGTGGTTCATAAAATGATTACTTTGGATGCGATCCTTAACTATTAATATTTTTTTGACTGAAATCTTGTCTGCTTTTAGTTTTTGATCGAAGTCCCTGACATTAATGTAATAGTGTAAATTATTATATTTTAAAATTAAAAATTAAAAATTGAAAATTGTATTTGTTTATATTAATGAGATTTTAAATATAACCCATAATTTACGGGATTAAAAATAATAAAATATAAATTATACTCTCTATTATATTGTGTGTGTGTGTGTGTATATATATATATATATATATATAGATACATTCATCAAAATTAACAAAAGAAATTATTGTACCAAAGCATGAATACATTCTTTGAAACACAGAAAAAAGAAGAAGATATTAGACTTAATAACATTAGTAAATTTCTTCGATTAAACTTGACATAGATACATTCTCAAATCAACGAAAAAAAAATGATGTACCTATATAACTTTAAAAATGGATTGATTTTTTTTTAATGGATTTTATATTAAAAATTTGGGTACTTTTTGTTTAAAAAATTTGTACATTTATATTAAAAAAATGATACATTTTACATATAACAAATTGATATATTTAAGAATGGGTACATTTAAGATTAAAAAAAGTTGAGAATATTTTTATAAAAAACTAATGGGTACAAACTTATTCTAATTTAATTAATTAATTTATTTTGGAAATTTTTGAATTGAAAATTAATTAGGAGTTTAATAGAGGTGTGAGTACTAAAACTTTAAATCAATTACTAATTTTTATTTAAAAAAATATGTAATAAACATGTAAATTCATTATCATATTAATACTAGAGACTCTAATCAAAATTTGAAAACTAATAAGATTCAGTCAATGAACATTAGTAACTAAGAACCGAATACTAAGTTTTCCTTCATAAAATTTGACCTGATGACATATTGGGGTTACATGAACAGATATGAAAATGAGTTGCCGGGAGTGGATGTATTTGTGTGCACAGCGGACCCAACCATAGAGCCGCCAATTATGGTGATTAACACGGTTCTGTCAATGATGGCTTATGATTACCCGCCGGAGAAGCTGAGCGTCTATCTGTCCGATGATGGCGGGTCGGAACTTACATACTATGCTCTCTTGGAGGCCGCTGAATTTGCAAAGCATTGGATACCATATTGCAAGAGGTACAGAGTGGAGCAAAGGTCACCTGCTGCTTATTTTGTCACAGTATCTGCTGATGCAATTGATCATCATCAGGCTAAAGATTTCTGGGTTATTAAGGTAACACAAAGATATTCTGTAGTGGATCAAATTCAGAATTTTTTATAATATTCGTGGCCGGTCAAAAAGCTAAGAAGAATCGTAATGATAAAGACTAAGTCCGTCAGTCAATCATGCTTATTTTCTGCTTTTCTCAAAAGGGCAAGCATTAGTTCTGGGTTTTCTCACGTTTGCTTGTTGTTTTCTCAAGAGGGTCAAGCATCATTGTGGGGTATCATTACGTGTAATGTTGAATGTTTTTAACCACTTACTGCAACGTTTCTTCTAAGTATTAGTTGTGAAGGCTAATTGAATATAAATTAGTAAGGTAATGTTAGGGAGATCAACTCTTCCAAGTATATTTTATAATTAGTATAGAGAACTATTATTAACATTTTAAAAATCTCAAATCTCATTCTATACTCCTCACAAGTGTATTTTACTATTTTTCTTTTTAATTATTGAAAATTTAGAGTGCCAAATGAGATTTTTGGAATGTTAATAACAATTCCCTTTATATAACATGGTTGCTGATGATTGGATTATTAGGTAAGTATTAATTAACGTGTTAATTTTCTATTTATGACACATCATATTATTGTCAATTTGACTAAAAAAATATGATCTACTTACCACTGCTCAATTCGCAATATGCCTTTCTTTTAAACCAAAATATATCTTTTTTGTAAATTAGGATTTTCACCCCCTAACATATCGCTTTATAAATATATATATATATATATCAGCTATGAGTATTTTGACAATTTTCGAGTCATTATTTTGGTCATTGACCACAAGGAAAATTTTTCATGTGTATTTGGAAAATTTGCCTATGGGTATGATTGAGATAATAATGTTCAAATTTATACACATTTTTTTTAATTTATAAATTTTATTCACTAAATTATTTGTACGTGTGCATCTTAATATAAGTGAAATTGGAAGTAGGCATAAATTTGAAAAAATAAAACAAAATGCAGCTGGCAATACAAAACGTGGTAAACAAATGTAAGTGCTTTGTATTTTCTTACTGTGTTTTGGCTCTTCTTTTTTAATATTGTTTATACATTTAAAAAGAGAATTACTATTGACATTTTAAAATTTTAATCGTGCACTCTTTATAAGAGCAATTGCATCCTTCTTTAATGTAATAATTGTTGAGACAATTGGACAAAGGCAATTATTAACTTAGTGAATATAAATGTGGCTGATATCAGCTTGACGTCAGATAGACTCAGGCACACAGATGAGCTATCCCTGACTGATACTTTGTCCATAATGGATGGGCCCACATGTAGCCCGACTTTTTTGGGCTGGCATGGAGAAGGGTTTTTGGGCTTTGGGGGATAAAATTATCCAATTCCATCGGCAATTGAGATGGGATAAAGTTGCTCTAAGAGTATTTGTTTTAAATATAAAAAATTTAGAGTATATAATTAAATTTTTTAATGCTAATAACAATTTCTTATATATATCATCAAAACAGCACATGGAGGTGCACACTTTCAAAGTAAATATTAACGGTGAAAAAATAAGTTTGGGCAGTGCAGCCCAATATATATTGATTAGTTCACTGATAGTCTGATACTTGTTTTTCTGATTTTTTTTTTTTTTTTTTTGCTACAGAAATTATACAAAGAAATGGAAAATCAAATCCAAACTGCAGTGAAGCTAGGCAGAATTTCTGAAGAAGTACGATCAAAATGCAAAGGCTTTTCTCAGTGGGATCCAAATTCATCTAGACGTGACCATGACACCATTCTTCGAGTATGAAACTAATTTGATACTCAAATCATCTCTTTTAAAGAAAAAAAATGCAATTCAGGGTCATAGTAAACAACAACAGGGCCTTATCCCATTAAGTGGGGTCGCTGTATGAATCTTAGAACGTTAATGCGCTCGATTTTATAGTCTTGCGTTAACTTCAAGAACTCCATGTCTTTTATGTAGTAAAACATTGAAAAAAAAAAGTTAAACTTTTCCACTGCTGTCTGATATTTGATGTGTAATAATTACACTCTTTTTCTAGATTCTTGTGAGAAACCCTAATTCAAGAGATGTTGAAGGGTGTGTATTGCCAACTTTAGTGTATTTAGCTCGGGAGAAAAGGCCTAAGCATCACCATAACTTCAAAGCTGGCGCTATGAATGCTTTGGTAACTATAAACTTACATCTATTCGGTGATATTTTATTTTATTTTATTTTTACAAAAGAGACTAAATGCGATAGGCATTCATGGCCAACTTTCGCAAAGCGGGAAGCTTTGTTGGCTTTAGGTCTCCCTTAGAGAGGTAAAAATGGTGCTTCCAAAACCCTCAAATATTAGAATGTTTGTTGATAATAATCATTCACTGTTTGTTATGTTATCCTTAACATTAATGCAGATTAGGGTATCTTCAAACATTAGCAATGGGCAGGTCATTCTTAATGTAGACTGCGATATGTATTCGAACAACTCCATGGCCATACGTGATGCGCTTTGTTTCTTCATGGATGAAGAAGAAGGCCAAGAGGTTGCCTTCGTACAGTTCCCACAGAATTTTGAAAATATGACTAAGAATGACTTGTATAGCAATTCTTTACGCGTAATCTTCGAGGTGAGTAGATGTTAATGGAGTTACAAGACTGTAGAATTGAACTTATTTAATTGAAAAGTTTCATGTTAAGTTATTCTAATCTTTATAATTGACATGTTGGAGTGGGGATTAAAGGTGGAATTCCATGGCATGGATGGTTATGGCGGCACTATGTATGTCGGAACTGGATGCTTTCACAGAAGAGAGACTCTTTGCGGGAGAAAGTTTATCAAGGGATCGAAGTTTGATATGAAAAGGGAGATCAGTGGACAAAGAGAAGAAAGTAGAATTCATGAATTAGAAGAAAATTCAAGAAGTCTTGCAAGCTGTACATTTGAAGAGAACACTCAATGGGGAAAAGAGGTCTCTCTCTTTCTTTCTCTCTCTCTCACACACACACACACACACACACACACACACGCACGCACGCATGCAAACGCACGCACACACAACTGCACACTAATTGAGCTTGATGAATGTCTATAATTTGCAGATGGGATTGAAATATGGATGTCCGGTAGAAGATGTGATCACAGGGCTATCAATCCAATGCCATGGTTGGAAATCAGTGTATTGCAATCCCACAAGGAAAGCTTTCTTAGGAGTAGCCCCAACTACGCTAACTCAGACTCTTGTGCAGCATAAGAGATGGACAGAAGGCGATTTCCAGATTTTGTTCACTAAATACAGCCCTGCATGGTATGCACATAGAAAAATTAGCTTTGGTCTTCAACTTGGATATTGTTGCTTCTGCTTCTGGTGTTCGAATTCCTTGGCAACGTTATTTTATTCGATTGTCCCTTCCCTTTACCTCCTCAACGGCATTTCCTTATTTCCACAGGTACTGTTTTTGTGTCAAAATATACATATTTTCTTTTGCAACTTATAATAAGGGTTTTGCTTTCTGGATTTAGGTCTCGAGCCCTTGGCTCATACCATTTGCATACGTGATAATTTCGAAGTACACTTGGAGTTTTGTTGAGTTTTTGGGGTGTGGTGGCACAATCTTAGGTTGGTGGAACGATCAACGAATTTGGCTCTACAAGAGAACAAGTTCCTACCTATTTGCCTTCATTGACACCATTTTAAACTCGCTTGGATATTCTGATACAGCATTCGTAATAACATCTAAGGTGGATGATGAAGATGTGTCAGAACGATACAAGAAAGAGGTTATGGAATTTGGAGATTCGTCGCCAATGTTTACCGTACTTGCAACACTAGCAATTCTCAATTTGTACTGCTTCCTTGGGTTTTTAAACAAAGCAATCTCTGGAGAAGGAATAGCAGAAGCTTATGAGAAAATGCCTTTGCAAATTCTTCTGTGTGGGGTTTTAGTTCTTCTCAACCTACCATTATACCAGGCCCTTTACCTAAGGAAGGACAAGGGAAAGCTGCCAAGCTCTGTAGCTTTTAAATCAATGGCATTTGCAGTATCTGCTTGTATCTGTTTCCAATATTTATATTAAAAGAAATGTGCTATTAGAACCATTAGAAATTGTTATTACCCCCGATTGATGGTCTACCATGAGGATTTTAGGGCTTAAGATGACTTTCTGAACTCTACCCTAATGAGATAATATGTGATTTTATTCCTATTTCAACTAAAGAAATGTGATTGGTCATCCTCTTTCTTGCTCCATGGCTTGCTCCATGCCAAATCCCTATGCTATTCTGAAAATTATGAGTTTGGTACCGTAGTATTACAATATGTTCCTATAAAAGACTACGCAGCGTGCAATCCCGGGAATACCAAGTTAATATGTTTACAGCATAATTGAGGCCCTCCAATGTGGTAGTTCACTCAAAGCATGGTGGAACTTACAAAGAATGTGGCTGATCTGAAGAATTACGTCCTACTTTTTCGCCTTCTTTGATACCATAAAGAGGCAATTGGGGCTATCCGAAACAGATTTTGCCCTCATTAATAAGGTGATGACAGAGGATGTGACAAAGAGGTATGAGCAGGACGTCATGGAATTTAGAAGTCCAAGCATTATGTATACCGTCTTGGCAACATCAGCGTTGCTAAACTTACTGAGCTTAGCATGGGGAACAAGGAGGGTTGCCATGGATATAGATTCCAAAGCTTAAGAACAGTTGATCAGTCAAGTTTTTCTTTGTGGCATATTGGTCATGATCAACTTACCGGTGTACCAGACGCTCTTCTTCCGTAGCGATAAGGGTCATATACCATCATCTTTCTTGTTCAAGTATGTTTTGTTGCTTACACTGGCATGCCTGATGCCTATTTACTAGGCAAGCTGGCTAGCTGAAAGATTAATGAACAGTCATTGTTTATGAACTAGCATTCTTCCTGAAACACCACATATTATAATTAGAAAGTCAATCACCAGGAGGCAGTACTGCCACTCATGAGGTCACATCGTACATGGTGTACTAGATATCCAGTAGAAAATAAGAATGCGGAATTAGACAAGCGTCCAATGTAGAAACATGCACATTAACATTATGAGTGCAAAGATACATATCATGATGTGAATAAAATTTCGGCAATAAAAGAAAACATCGCAAGGCGATTAGCTACCCCGTTACAATAAGAAAAGAGTTTAGAGTCCAATTGGTAACAGGTGATATGAAATGGACAAAGCTAGGGCCAAAGTTGCCGTTCAAACGACGTCTAAATTAGTTAGTTTAGGCCATATTGTTACTCAAGTCTAAGGAGTGGTCATCTCTACAACACACAACTCTATCCATTCTTCCAGGCTGTTATCATTTTCTCCCATCTCTAGGCCTTTGAACTCCAGCTGATGTATTGGCACTTTGCTTTTATAAAAACGGGGCACTTTAGATGAATGCTTCACTTGCTGTTCTTTTACCAACAGCTTCTCATACTTAGTAGCCTCAATCACCAGCTCTTAAAGCTTGTTAAACTGTACATCATAAAACTTCTTCCTCAGGGGTAGTCTCCTTCTGGGCAATGGCTATGAGTTGAGCATGGTTGATTGGGAACTAGCATCTCATCTTAGTCTTCCTAAACCTCATCATAAAATCATTCGTAGGCTTATGTTCATATTGCATTACTTCCACCAGATCATTAGTGATCATTTCAGGTTCCACCCTATAGAACTGCTCATGAAAGACCATCTTCATTTGCTCCCAGTTGGCAGTGGAATTGAGGGGTAACATAGAGTACCATTGGGAAGCCAAGCCTACGAGTGAGTTTCCAAATCGTTTGTAGTTGGGGTTGTCCTTAAACGCCACACAGCGATTTGAAAACTTGAAAATGTGATATTTGGAAGACACATTGTAGTCTTCCCCATTGAAAGTTGGGAACACGGGCATCTTGAAATTGAGAGGGAAAAGATTCTGCTCATCAATGTACTTGCTTCTGATATGTTATCCTAAACATCAGGCGAGCTTGTAGTTGAGCATTTTGTACCACCATCCTCCTCAATTCTGCCACTTTATTCCTCAATTCTGCCACTTTATTCCTGAGTTGTTGTGATTAGCCATATTATTGTGTGGGGGATAGGAAGTCCCCCACTTTGGGCTATGATTGATGCTCGAAAAAGCTTCTCTCTATGGGTCTGGCTGTCTCTATCTCGCTTTCCCTATTGTAAGCATCCTTCGGTGTGGAGTACTTTAACTTGAACTTTCCTTGTAGCGTTCCTGTTAAGGAACATAGCTTGTTAACTTCTCATTTGGTCTCCAGAGAGATCTTCTCCATACTTTTCAATACTTGCACCATGGTGGCTTATAGATCTTCATTAGTAACCTTTCCACCCGACTTCTCAAAAAAGGTCATGCTCTCAAAGATTTTGGGGCCGTGCATTGAAGGAAAGTCTTCTGGGTGATCTGTCATGCCTACTTCTGTTGGAAAGAGGTTGCCCAAATTCCACCTTCCACCTGAAAGTTTGATCCTTCCTTCATCTTGGCATACAATATCACAAAATAAGTTCCATTGGGCATGCCAAAACCATGTTTGGTTTAGATCTGTCCCTCGCACAACTTCCTGGGGACTTGCCTGTCAGGCAAGGTTTGTTGCTTGGTGTGCTGCAATATGAGTTTGCTATTAGTTTGAATGGTGCCTTTATGGGGCCTTTGTTAGGCATTAAGGCTCACAATCAAAACTAATATTGATATGAGCTTGCCATTGTTATCTTTGTATAACATATTGTTATTTTTTGTTTATTAACTAGGTTGATTACTTGCGCCACAAGTTACTTATACTTCTTGAACATACTAGATTTTGACAGATGGGTTAAATCTGTATAAGGTTCTTTTTCTTGCCTTATAAACAAGGACCTTTACTCATAATATTGTAAGTCCGGATAAAGGGAGTTTAGGGCCCTTCCAACTATTTCTTTGATTACAGTTAACGCTAAAGAAGTAAGGTTAATTAGTTTAACCAAATTAATCATAGATGAAAATTGAACGAAAATCAGTTGAAAATGATTTAAAACACAAAGGAAAATGCATTTAAACAACATATCTACTTTATGTACGTACAAACAAAAAATACTCGAGCAAGATTATAACCTTGTCAGGCAAGGTTCATCTTCTTGCGACCATTTCTCTTTGTATTTTACATGGGTTGTAATCTTTGGAGAATGTAAGGTAAAATGGGTTTACTAAAGGGATTCGTTACTACAACGCTGGGGAAAAGTAACAAAGCTTCTAAAACTTGATAAAAGATAGCTTTCTATGGTGAATCTATGACTAAAAGAACAAAATATGGACAAACTAAAACTTTCCGGTTTCTTGCTTTTCTGAGAGCAAAGTTGAATGTTTTTTGATTGATTGGTTGAGTGTTATTGTTTATGGTGTCCCTTGCCGCTTTTATAGACTTTTTAGCTCGATTGTCCAAGCCTTGCGTTTTGGTGATGACCTCCGGAACATGGTGAGTCACCACTTATTTACCTCTCTATGCCCTTGAAAAATATTTTTTTGCTGGAAGTGAGCTGCCCTTCTGAGTGTCACTTTTCACATAGGCTTGTTGTTTATTCCTTGTCAAAAAATGATTTTTATTCCTCCTGGGCCGACGACTTGTCCGAGCCCAATTCTCCCTTTGCTTTTTGTGTTCTTGAGCCTCCACTCTCACTAAGCTTAGCATTAAATTTACACTCAAATGCAATCTACCTCTGTCCATAATAGGAGAGATTTTTCAGTGTGACCGTCTCACCGGATGGTACACCACGTGTCGCTATATAAATGGTGGGATACGTGTGTTAAAAAGTTAATAACTTAAAAATTAAAATTTCCCACCACTTACATAAAAACATGTAGTGTACCACTTGTATTTCCGTCACGACTAAAAATTTCTCCCATACTAGAATGTTCAGTGCACCAAATACAATAACATTAAAAACTGAATATTCCAGTAAGTGCTTTTTTGCCATTGGTGGAAGTCACATCACATGGATTAAATTGTCAACAATGTTAGGCTGTAGCTTACAAATATATGTAACCATATACGTCCTTATCTATTATTTAGGATATTGACCAAAAAAAAAAATCTATTATTTAGGATAGAAAGAGAGAAAGCGCTGAGCTGAGACAGAGTCTGAACTAGATGGGAAATGAAAGGTACGTACCATTGTTCGAGACGAGGAGAGCCAAGGGAACAGTCCTGTATAGGGTTTTTGCAGCATCTATATTTGCCGGAATATGTTTGATTTGGGCTTATAGATTGAGTCACATACCAAAGGAAGGAGAAGATGGAAGGTTTGCTTGGATTGGACTATTGGGTGCTGAGATATGGTTTGGTTTTTACTGGCTCCTCACTCAAGCCACCCGATGGAATCGTGTGTATAGGTACACCTTCAAAGACAGGCTTTCTCAAAGGTAAATCAATTACTTCATGTTAGTTTGTTAATCGTTATTCGACAACTGTGGTTCATGAAATGGATGCTTTAGATGTGGTCCCTAACTATTAATATTTTTTTGACTGAAATTTGGTATTTTTTTGTTTTTGATCGAAACCCTGACATTAATATAATAGTGTAAGTTATTATATTTTTTAAATTAAAAATTAAAAATTGAAATTTGTATTTGTTTATATTAATGAGATTTTAAATATAACCCATAATTTATAGGATTAAAAATAATAAAATATAAATTATACTCTCTATTATATTGTGTGTGTGTGTCTATATATATATATATATATATATATATATGACACACCCCAATCGAGATCAGAGCATGCTGGCCGTCATGTGGAAGTGATGTAACCATGTGCACAGTGCGGAAGCTAATAGAATAATAATATAAATGGTACGAATAAATAAAACTAGCTTTACACAACGTAATAAAAATCAAGTGCAAGCGTAAGTGTGAACCCTAAGTTCAGAGCATAAAGCCTAATGCAGTCCAGAAGGAAACGACACAACAAAAGCACACCCGAAGGTGGTCCTACACTGGTGGTGGTCTGTCAGATATGCCGGGGAAATCCTCAGGGAAGCCACCAAACGTGCTAGCCAACTAGAACCTGGAGGTGCGCAAAACAAAAGCGTGAGTGGGCAAAAACAAAGCTTTTTGAAAACCAATTCAATAAATAAGTTCTAACCCCTCGCCGTAAAACCTGTATAATTCCCAGAAAATAGAATATATATAAGTCATGCTCGAAGAACGTGCCATGCAATATGTATCGAAGTAATATGCCAGTGCTCAGAAAACATCAAATCAATACCATGAAACTGTCAGCCGGAGTCACTTAACGTGACCTTTACTGCTGAATCTAGAGCTCAAATCTCCATCTCAATAACTATACCTGCACACGAGTCGGAACCACCTAAAGTGGTCTGTACGACAGGAGTGGGTGTAATATAAGTACGCTCTAGTGCTACGATCATGTGAAGGCTGGGCGAATAATCGCGGGTCACCTACGAGTCGGAACCACCTAAAGTGGTCTGTACGACAAGCCTGTGCACCTAACTTGGATCCAAGATGAGCGTGTGGTGTGAGAGGTGAACATCACGTGAAGGACTGTGCCCAACTCTGGGCGGGAGCACTAACACCGGGGGTGTAGGTTATGAGCTCTCTAAGTCTCTAGAATCACTACTGAACGTAAATATAAATTATACTCACCTGGCACTCACCTGTGCGTCCACAGCACCAATATACATATGTATAAATGCAACTAACAATGCATAACAAACGGCAATGTAATGCATGGCATATAACGAATAAACGATTCAAATCAATTTTTGGGAAAAGTATAAGTATATAGGTATATACAGAGAATCAAAAGCCCACTCACTGGTAAGTGATCGTAACCCCCTTGCCTCGAGTGACCACGCTCGTCCTCAGGATACGTCTCACCTATATGCGAAACAATTATAAAAACGTTAATTTTAAAACACATAACCAACCTTTAGAAATAACTTCTCATACATTGCTCAAATGGGGTGTATGAATACACCAACGTGATCTACTCAACCTCAGGAACATCCCCATATTTTTAGAAAAATTTTCCACCGCCGCACGCGCCCCCACGCGCCGCCAAGCCACGGCCACACGCGCTGGCCACACGCAGGCACGTGCCTGGCACGCTGACAGC